GAACCGAAAGCACTGTATCGAACGGTTCAATATCGATACGAATATCGTTGCACCCCTAATATATATATATATATAGACAGATACATATATATATATATATATATATATAGACAGATATATATAGACAGATACATATATAGATCAATAACTCAAAAACCTAAACGCTGGATAATCTATCTATCTATCTATCTATCTATCTATCTATCTATCTATCTATCGGGAGATACATATATATATAGATAAATATTGTCACGGTCCTGGGTCTGGTGATCCAGTGTTTATGTTTTTGAGTTAGGTTATACTTTCTGGATTATGTATTTCTCTTTGTATTGTAATTATAGTTCTCTCTGTTATGTGTTCTTCTCTTATTCTTGGTCTCATCGGTGTGTGTTTTCTCATCATTTCCTGTTTTACTTTCACAGTCTTTATCCTATGTTAATGTTTCTGGTTTTGCGCCTCCCTGGTCCCGTTTGTTAATTAGTGACAGCTGTGTTGTTTTGCTTGGGTCCAGCAATAAAGCTGTGTTTAAGTTCAAGTTATTGTCTCTTTGAGTCTGCATTTGGGTCTTTTCCTGCCTGCCTGGACACAGTACATGACAGATATAGATGTAGATATATAGATATTGATATAGATATGAAGATAAAGATAGGGACATTTTTTGATGGTTGATATGATATATCAGGTAAATACAGAAAATATACTCACTTTTCCAGTTAAAGCTTGGTAGTTTGGGTTCCTGAATGGAAAGGGAGGTGCTCCCAACACCCAGCCAGAACAGAGACAAATCTGAGGGGAGGATAGGATGATAGAAGAATACCAAAACACACGTTAAACTCATGTTTAAGTGACAGTGACTGTTCGTCCTACCTGAGGAGCTGTCGTACAGATGATCAGAATCCTCTGCTGAGATGTTCCAAACAGCTTCCAACCCCTGGAACCAGATATACTAGTCCGGAAAGCCAGGAGGACCACAATGGTCTTAACAAGTAAGCAAGAGAGACACAGAACAAAGCTGATTCCAAATGCTGCTTGGCGGAGCCTGCATGTCCACCAAGATGGCTGACCAATGAACACCAGAGAACACAGGAAACAGAGCTTGAGTGACAGGAGAAGCAAGAAACTTATTTCTGAGTTGTTGGCCTTGACAATGGGTGTGTTGCGGAAACTGTGAAAAATAATTGTGATGATGGATGTCAGGATGAATCCAAGCAGGGTGAGTGCTACCAGGATGATACCCATGGTGTCGTAGAAAGAGAGGAATTCTTCTTCCCCTGCAACACATTTCACCTTGTCTTTGTCTGACCAGAAGTACTCAGGGCATTTTGTGCACTCAGTAGAACCTTTCGTAACACAAAACATAGATATATGTGTATAAACATTCAGTAAATTCTAATTGCATATCAGCATGTTTTGATGGTTCTGGTTTAAACTGTGCAACTTTAAATTCAATGACCTTCTTTATTACACTACATAATAATTGATTTAAAAAACAAACAAACATAATAAACATATATAGACTACCAGTCTTGTTACTGATCTCTCCATCTGCACAGGGCAAACAGTCAAAGCAGCATTTGGGTTCTCCTTGGCGTGTGGCCTGCCTGTTGCCGGGAGGACATGGAGCACTACACTGAGATACAGGAACCTGAACAAGGAACAGAGAAAAGTAAAATAACGGGCATAAATATGTTGTATCTGAGAATCTGAGATAGTGTATCAAATTTACTTTAGTTTAAAACATCTTTATTTTAGGTGTCATATCAAATACGTGCAAGATAACTATGACCTACCTGTAACTGTCCTTTTGTCCATACAATACTGTTCTTTATTATCTGCAACTGCTCTCTCTGTGGTGCTGAACCATCATAGGTTCCAACTTTGATAAATCTAGCATAAAGTAGCATAAAATATTTGAAAAAGCAATTAGGTTAATGTTAAATGTTACTACAGTTTATTGTTCACAATTACTTCAACATGCAGTTCATTTCCACCTTTATGTATACAGTATATAGCTCACCTGATTTCATCCTTGCTGTCCTTCTGCCAGTTAATAATGTCATAAAGAGGGACTGGCTCTCCATTGGTGTCAAAATACACTTTCTCATCAAACTGGTTGTGGAAATTTACCATTTTCAGATGATGAAGAAACTACAGGAAAAGAAAATTAGAAAAACAAAACAAAGAATGTCAAAAAACTACACATGAATCCCATGAATGTTGAATTACATAAATGTTGATTTTAAATATTTTATAATATTTTCAATTACCTGACCATTTGAAAATGAGCTGTGTTTCTCACACAATCCCCCGCTAGGTCCTGCTGAATCGCAGTTCAAAAAAGTGTGCAGAGCATGGGCAACGGCATACACAGCTTTATACACATTGTAGGATATTCGAACCTGAGATACATCACTATAACTGCTGTCAGTGTTTCTCAAATCCTCTGACCCTGTGCATACAGGCTTTTCAAAAGCATATTCACCGTCTTTATAAGCTGACATGTTAAATAAACTTTTTTGTCCCACATTAAATCCGACCATATAAAGAGAATTGTTTTGGAAACCTGGGTTGTAACGAAAACTATCATTATCATTAAAATCATCTGCTTCATAGTCTTTGGCTCTTTGGCTTTCAAACTCTAGCTTACAACCAAAATGTTCTTCCCAGAACATATTGAAAAATTCCATTCCTGGTTTGCGAGAGGGTCGGACATTCAAAAGAAACTCTTTCAAGCCTGGGATGCTGACTCCAGGGAAAGTGAAGCCCAGTGTTCCCTGTAGAATGTCGAGAAACTGGGGTGAGGCCAGTCGGCTCGAGGTCACCCAGGCTTCACTGGCTATCCATTGTATCCCTGTCACATTCCTTTGAGCTAGCTGGAAAATCATAGATAAAATAATGCAGCAATTTTCATGAAAACAATTATGAGCATAATAACACTATATATCACTACTTACTTCTAAGAACAGATTTAGTAGCTGCCCTTCTGTAGCAAACACCACCACAACCCGAGCAGTTGAACTCTCCAGCGTATCTGTCATTTCTTGTATTTCAGCCATTGTGGGCGATGTTGGGATGGTGAGATGAAATGCCACACATCCACCTTGCCTTCCAAACTGATTAGAGAATGCTTGGATGCCATAAAGGCTGTAGTCATCCTGAAATGTATATACAGAAAGCATTTATAAACCATGTTGCTGTCTAAAAATGTCTCATTGTAGCATTTAAAAAAGTTTTTATCTCACCGTAGTTCCTATTGTGCCCACCCAGAACCAGCCTAAAAATGTGACAAGCTTTACGAGACCTCTAACTTGAAAGAGATCACTTGGCACAGTTCTCAAGAATGATGGGTACAAATGCTTATCAGTAAGACAGGTACAGGTGGAAAAATAACTCACCTAGAGAGAAAGTGATTTCTTTCTGTATTATTGAGCTAAAACACAAATCAAATACACAACACTATTAAATAAAGTTGTACAGTATATTACCAGTGGTATGTTGAAAGGGCCAAGTGTGTGAGCGACAGCTCTTGTAGGGGAAGAGGATGCAAGACCAATCACAGCAGGCACCGGAGAATAATACAGACATGTGGAAGACTCTTTCGTCTTTATTTCTTCTCTTGTATTTTCATTTAGGTAATATCCAGTGTTTTTAACACTATTTGAAATTTCATTTATATTTTTCAATGAGGTCATTATTTCTTTTGTAGTTAGTTTTACAGTCTTTAACCCTTCCCCGTTGATACCATTGTATTCAGTATCTTCTGATTTTTCAACTTTACTGTCGACAGTTTTAGAGTGTCTGAATAACGAAAAAAGAGCCTGCAGGCCGGTGGGGATATGGTCACAGCAGTCCATGATATGGTAGCCTAGTTTAACACCTGGTAACAGACTTGAATTATGGTTAATTTCCTCCACTGCAAACACCATAGTCATCATCCAGCGAAAGGCTCTTTGATAAAAGCTGTAGATAAGAAAAACTCCATAACATATTTATTCATTTAATAAAATAATATCATTTAAACAGTCTTATAGAAACATGGCAATATGGTCAAAGCTTATGCTTTTTTTGACTTTGTGTTACAAGGAAGAAGAAAAAAAAACACTATACTACACTCACCTGCTGCATGATGTAATTTGAGGTTTACTGTTGTAGCTGTGCTGTGGCTCAGTGACAACATAATGCAGAGGGAAAAACCCTCCAATCACAACATCCCCATCAGAGTGCAAGGCTGGGAGCTCACTGCCTCCCAGTTTTACACACTGAGATAAACTAGAATCAACACTTCTCATTCCTCTGATCTTTAAACCATGCATTGGCTCTGTCATCGCAGCTTCTTCTTTTTCCACAATACCTCCCTCCACACTTAGTGACTTAGTAATGTTAACATCAAAGAACACAATACAAGTCGTATTAAAGAAGACATTAAAAAACACCCAAAGAAAATAACCAACAAGGGTTGAATGCATTATCCACAGTAAACTCATAAAAACTTTGTGCTTAAACCAATGGTCCTCTAGCATAGTGTATGACACCACAGTGAAGTGTTTTAATATATCTGGTGCTTGTGTCATTTTATTGTTTCTTATGAGTCATCATTAGATCACCCAATCACAGCAAAGTGCAACAGGAGAGAGGATAACACTGCTTGAACAAATCATTAATTTCTTAAGTTGAACCACTGCTTTAAATTCAAGTTTGTTAAGCTGTTTTCCTAGAGTCACACACTTTTCATTACAAAACACAGAAAAGAATAATATTTTTTTCATTTCCTCTGATATATTATTATTCTCCTTTGTCTGGTGCTAAAAACCACCACAATCTCTCCTTATTGCATCTCCGGCAGATGCAGTCCAGCATTCCCACATTATAACTGTTCATCATATGTAGCTATCTCCAGTGTTTGGTCACTCTGCTTCCAGCACACTTATGTTTCTTGTTAGTCAGAAGCTACAATCACCTTACCTTTCCTGTGAATGTAGAGGGGACACTCTGGGGTAATTAAGTAAAACCAGATAACTACAGAATGCCCTGGGTCTGTTGAATTTGCTTTGCAGTACAGACCTCTGCTCACAAAATTTGAAATCCTTAATTATTTTATATTTTTCAGAAAATCCATGCGATGTTGTAGTGAAATATGAATTATTTATGCTTCAATACTAGCCATGCATGTTTTTTTTCTGCATTTACACAGTGTTGGAGAGTAACGGAATACATACCAGCGTTATGTATTTAAAATACAAAATATGAGTAATTGTATTCCGTTACAGTTACCGTTTAAAAAGATGATATTCAGAATACAATTACTTTGTTGAAATAAATGGATTACACTGCAGTCTTTTTCTGTTTCATATGTTGGGCTATGCCCTCTCTATTTTTGGTAATTCCACGCTGCTAGAAACCCAAATAAAACACGCATTAAGAGGCTCTAATGCCTGTGTGTCAATCGCAGTCTCAGGCCATGTCACCCCTACTTGCGACCCGCATAATAAAGCGAATATTTTTTTTTTTAAATCATTGTTTGAAAAGTTTTTTAATATGAAGGCAATAGGCAGAGTATAGAATGTAGCTAAAGAATGTAGCCTCATGGGCAGTGTATTACGATTACGTGCTGCAGGGAGAATGGACTGCCATACCCGTTACAGTATGTGCCTGTGAGCGTGAGGGAGGGGGAAATCAGAAATCAGAAATCAGAAAGGGTTTATTGCCAGATGTTGAGCAGGTTTACAACATTAGGAAATTGCTGCGGTGCTTCAGTGCAACATACTGTCATAAAAATATAAAAATAAGAATAAGAATAAGAATTAAAGTGCTAAGTGGATAGATATATACATGATATATACATGAGTG